TAAATACAATTTAATAAATTAGTTATGGACTCAACGGGTCGTTTCCCTCCGACTGGTATTATGGAAGGCCTACAATCAAGTTTTGTGGAGGGTGTGGACGAACTACAGGGCGTAAAACTGGTTGTGGGGGCGCTTTGGTTATGACAGTGTGTGTCGGGGGCTGAACCATATGGACACTGGTCTCGGATTTGGTGTCAAAAACCTTAAGCAAAACGATGACAATAACTACGAGACAAATACACGGCAAACAAAACACACAAAACAAGACACCGAAGACCACAGCCATAACCGTCCCAAATATGAAACCCGCCTGAATATGGCTCATATTTGTGGGATAGACATAATCCTTGTCCGACACGCCTGAAACGCTATGGGAACTGTACCAACAATTTATCATTAAAATTATTTGAGTATTCAATCAATTATTTGATACCATAAAGTCATGAAATAATAGCCAATAAGAGCCACCAAAACAGTCCTTTTGCTGAATATCCAACGGATACTAATTCTCTGAATCTGATCCATGTCTTGGTTTTAGTAAATAAATGGCATAAATATAAATTTCAAATGAAATATGGTTTAAAATAATTTTAATAAAATTTTAATTAAACGTTTGTTCAATTCTCGTACAATTCAAATTATTGTTATTTACTAATTTATAGCTACATTATAACCACTTATAAGACATTTGCATGTACTGCCCCATATCACTGTAGAAAATAATTTTATAATTACAATTGTATCAGATTTTGTGGTTAATAAAATTTACACAATAGTATAAAATATATTTAATTTTGATTGTGAAACTAAAATTGTAAATCACACAAATATACAGTATAGACGAGAATTCGGTATATTTTATTTTCAATGCCATAATAGACAGAATTCATATTAAATAATATTGACAACAATTTTAATACGAGAATCCAATCAATAAATTGATGAATGAATGCAAAAATAACTTTTTGGCCGCAACTATGAGGTCATAACAGTTACGTTACGCGTATGACATGAGTGGTCTGACCAGGGGGTGGATGGGGTTGAGGGGCGTTAGGGTTAATCACATGCACTGTCGTCTCATATGGTTTGAGGATCTTTTGACCGGACTTCAGACATATCGACACAATGAATGCAATACATCCCAACATAGGGCTAACACGAGGATAGCGCCCAACAGTTGCAGTATAAACAACCAGGTCAACCAACCCCACTGCAGAACAATGTCCAGTCCTTCTTGTCATGTGAAGATTGTGGTGATGGCTGAGACGGTACCCAAATTGGATGCTCAAACTCACCCTCCGGTGCTTTAGTGACGGGCCCTTCACTCACACCCACCACTGACCAACTGTTTGGCAAAATGTTGATTATTATGACATTTGTTCATCAATTCAGTTATAAATACCCAAAAGTCATGACATAAAAGCCAATCATAGAGATTAACAAAGTGTTTGGATTCAGCATTGGATTAATACTGGTTTTGTGAATCTGATCCAAGTATTGGTTATCTTTGATATAACTCTGAGTCAAACGGAACTAAAAATACTTTTTGATTTGAATGTTGAAAATAAGCTAAAAGTTTAAGATTGAATTGAGTTGAAATTATCGTGAAATGCAAGAATACCTAATTGTAAGCATCAATTTGCCATCAAATCTGATTACATGTATTAGTTTATAGTTGAAAGACATCGAAAAGTATTATAGTTTTAAGCATTTTATTATTGTCTACAAATCAATGCCTTTTACATTTGATAATATTGTATTTGTATTTGTATTGTAAATCTTTTTAAAACTTTAATTTCAATTTAAATCCAATATTTGAGTGAATGGTTGTGTCAGCTCTCCCTCATAGACATACCTACCGGAGCCCACATTTGTGTGAAGGGGTTGCTTCAGGAATGATAAATCAATGAATGCTTTAGTATTGACCGGAATGTCGATCTGTTATTAAATATAAAATATTAACAAAAATAACAAAAATGTTAATAAAATGGAAATTACTGTTAAAGTAATGTTCGCGCCGTTAGTCTCCCAACTCATCCCAATTAAGCCATTGATAGACTGATACCGAGCCGCCATTTTATGGAGATTACCGCCGGGTTTCGGTGCTATTACTATACTCTTGAATCCCACGCCTTCCTCGTGAGTGTCAATACCGGCCACCGATTGGAAGAGCCATCAACCGACTGATCCCAAGGAGTAGTGATTGAATGAATTCATAGCCGGGTCTTGAAATCCCTTTTCTTGTGTCCATCCGTCCCAACGCTCCCATATAGTGGTCGCGTTGTATTTAATACTATATCCCCACGAGGGGTATGTGTCCTGTAGTAGCAAACGGTAGGCCACATCCGAGTGACCCAATCGGCTCAGTGTTGGACACAAGTAGCCCACACCTGACAAGTGAATTACCAGAAAATTAATTAATATGAAAATTAACGATAATTAATCTATACTGACCAACAAATCCAGTGGTCAGGTGCCAGTCGTGGGCCTTAATATTGTCCACTAAATGGTTGGCCGCCAATGGGATCAGGTTTTGGGGCAACAGTTCAAAGGCCACGGCTATGACATACACCGTCTGAGTGTTGCCTTTGA